GTTACATTTTGTTTAGTCAGACCAGCTGTAAATGTCGTATTGGAGAGCAATTGAGGAATTTGGGGAGAAAAAGATATAAACTCATGGTAGGGATTGTTAACTGCTTCTAATATTTTGAAACAGAGTCTCATTCTGTTGCCTGGGCTAGAGTGCTGTGGCATCAGCCTAGCTCACAGCAACCTCAAACTTCTAGGCTCAGGCGATCCTTATGCCTCAGCCTCCTGAGTAGCTGGGACTACAGGCATGAGTCACCATGCCCGACTAATTTTTTGTTTCTATTTTTAGTTGTCTGGCTAATTTTTTTCTGTTTTTAGTAGTGATGGGGTCTTGCTCTTGCTCAGGCTGATCTTGAATTCCTGAACTCAAAGCAATCCACCAGCCTCAGCCTCCCAGAGTGCTAGGATTAGGCATGAGCCACCATGCCTAGCCATAAACCTTTCCTAAACCAGCTGAAAGATGACACAATATGCCCTAGGTCAGACCCTGAGTAAGAGAGAATCCAAGCGAGTGATGAATACAGTTACCAGAAGCACGACCTTCACCATCCAGGAAGACAACAGCTTCTTCATTGGACTTTTTTCTGAGCCACGAATACTTTGTCAAGTTTCATGCCTTCTTTTACTCACTGTGGTTTAGGTGTTGGTGAAAAGCTGACAGTGGCCTTTAGAAAATAAAGACCAAGAAGCTAAAACTCAGGGATGAATATAGACTACAAATTATAAATACATATGCAAAAAGCTTATGTAATTTTGAGCAAAACAAAAATTTTAAAGGTGGGGGAAGGGTAGACATTTTTAACCACTTTAATCTAAATACAAGGCTGAGCTGGAATGATTTCAGTTGCCCAAAAAGTTTCAGCAAAATTGGCCTAGGCTTCTATCAACCCTGCTGTTTGATAATGATGATCTCCTCAGTACAACTGACCAAAATGGAAAGCCATGCTCAAGGTTTGTTATATAAAACATTTCCCTTCATTTACTAACATCAAAATATCCTGTCACTTGTTAAATTATAAATTAGAAGCCAATTTTTTAGCATGCCTTCACCAAGATTTAGAGAATTAAACTAGTTGTAAAGGAATTGAGAAACATGCACTGACTATAGATTTCTCCAAAATCCATCCATAAAACTGAAGGTTTTCTTTTTAATAGATTCCGTAGCAAACCACATACTGTGCTCACTGAAGCAAGAAGTAAAAAGAAATGATTGAGCAATATTAAAAGGTGGAGAGCCAGATCCTTTTCTCTACAGTGTTTTAATGTTGAAATAAAAGGCACCGGGTAACCCCTGGCTCCTCCAGCCGGGACACCAGGGCTCTGCCCTTCCTCCTGCTGCCAGAACAAAGAGTCACTGGAGAGCTCCTACCCTCCCCACAGGAAGAAACATTTTAAGGTAAAACTTCCAACCAGACTTTCCAATCTCACCTATTCTAATAATGCAGTCTGCTTGTCTACGAGAAGGTTTAGTGAAGCAGATTTTGTTTCAGATTGGGACAAAAATTAATACTGACTCCCTCCATTTCAGGTTGGATGGGGAGGGTGGTTCTCTTCAACAGGATGCTGTCTCATGACAATCCAATATATTAAAATATTTTAAAAGTCTGGGCTAGACTTTGAAATGAAGAATGACACTGCTAAGTATTCTGGATTCCCTGTAACTGCTGGACTCAAAGTAAGATTTCTAAACATATGCCTCACTGGGCATAATGTAAAGTGTATAGAGTTAAGACAATAGTAGGGGCTTACAAATAATAACTTGGCAATCACCCAAGGTCTGTGTGAAGCATAACTGGTATCGACAGAAAGTAGAATGTTTTCTTACACTTTAGGTTCAAAATTCTTCTAGTGGAAATACTATTTCCCCCACTTCCCTGTGCCTCTCTCCTCCACCACCACTAACAGGTCAAGAAAGAAGACCTATGGCCAACTGCATAAAGTCCCTAAATTTCATATCTTTTATATTCAGGGGATTTATCCTGTTCATTAGCAACAATATATTTAAATACATTACAATATGTTTCACATTAACATATCTCCTTTTTTCTTGTCTACTCTTTATTTCTATACAAAACAAATTGTTTCCCCCCAAGCACAGTTGAAAACTGTCACCCATCATGTGTTTTACAGGTGCCTCTGAATACTGTCTCTTTCAGGTATCTTTATACAAAGACTCTTCTAATCACAACACAAGTTATTTTTAAACTGTCTTATTCCTCAGGCAAAGGGAATAATTCTTTAGCAATGTAATGCACATATCTACAAACAGTGGGGAATATATAAAATAAAAAGTGTCTTTTCTCAATGCTCACATAGCATCGGGAGAATTTTCAGAGTTCAAGAATTGAAGTTGCCAATGAATAATAGGGAGTAATCTGAGCAAATATACAAGAAAAGTAAGATAAGATGCTCAGTTTTATTCCTGTCGACCTTAAATACAGTTCCATACAGCTCTTAGAAGTATCTGCCTGGGTCAGATGGTCAGGGTGCTCTAAAATCCTCACAGGTTTTCCTTTACTTTTCTTCCTTTCATCAATATGAGAGTATTTCTCCTTTCACACACTATTATAGGATCTTCTGCTATTGAACTATTTCTTACAGCATGTTCTTTCTTTGTTCACTGGATTCCTTTTAATATTTGAAAAAGTGATAGCCTCTTTTAATTTATATAATGAAGACAGACTCTGGAATCAGAATTCCTGTGTTGGAGTCTGAGTTCCAATGTTTGTTAGTTATATGACCTTGGACAAGTTACTCAAACTCTTTGTGCCTCAGTTTCCTTTTAATGGGAATAATAAGAGAACCTCGGAGGGTTGGTGAAAAGATTCTGTTTTAAAATATAGGCAAAGCATTTACTATATGTTACACTTAGTAAATGATCGATAAATATTGACAGATAATTAAAAGTCATTTTTAGAAATGGTTGGGGTTTTTTGCTGATGCTATTTTCTTAGTTATATTTCTTATACTGCTCACATATCCTTTCTAAACTTATATTTTTTAGAGTTCTGTCTAGTTTCTTTAGTCTTTGTCATCATTTAGTTTACTTATATCACTTTAATAATTCAATTAAAATCACATCACTTACTTGTAGTTTCAGCTCAGAACTGTAGCTCTCATACTTGCAACAAGAAAAAAGCTGGACAGGCAGCATATTGATGACTTTCTGTGAACACATCAGAAAGCTAAAGTCATAGGACAAATGGTCATCCTGAAATCTGGAGAGATATTGGTGCCTCTGTAAAAATTAGAGGAGTGTGGCAGGCACGGGGGCCATAAAATCGACAGTCCTGCTGAAATGCTTTTCCATCAATGAGTGATTTAAAAATAATCTTGGTCCTTGTCTTCTTTCCCCTGCATACTCTATTTGTCTCTTCTCCATGGGTCTGGAAGAAGAATTTAAAGGAGTTTGAGACCAACCTGGGCAACATGGGGAGACAAAAAATTTTTTTAAAAATTAGCCAGGCATGGTGGTATGCACCTATAGTCCCAGCTACTTGGGAGGCTGAGGCAGGAGGATCACTTGAGCCCAGGAGTTTGAGGTTACAGTGAGAGACAATGACACCATTGCACTGTAGCCAGGTAACAGAGTGAGATCTTGTCTCAAAAAAAATGAAAGAAAAGAGAAGAAAAAAAAATAGCCTGTATATTAGTATTTTCTTGAACTGCACATAAACATCATAGTTGAAGAACCAAAATCAATTTATGATAAACAATTAGCCAGGCACCAAATACTATATGATTGCTTGCAATAAAAAGAAATTAAATGAGCAATATTAGAAAATTAAGGGGCAGTTTTGAAACCATAGAGACAATTATTTTATGTTAAATACAAATTCCAAAATGCAAATCTTACATGGAAATGATACCTACACTGAGTTTACCCTCAAAATAAACTCAACAACAAAAGAATTATTTCCCTGACTATAAGAATCCTACCACATTTCAAAAGCAATATAAGAATAGAAGTCCATAAAGTGTTGGTGAATAATAACTCTGAGGAAAACACATTAGATGGTTTGACATAACTTATTAATAAAGCCCTTCAAGTGCTACAAATAGCCATTATTTATTATCTATTTTCATGAATTTCCCTATAACTAGCAGGAAGCTTCTTGTTTAAAATGATAATAAATCTGAAATGAGTGCTACCTCATTCTTCTTCAAGTAGGAATGCATAAAAAAAATCATAAAGGATTGCACATTCTGCTTTATTTTAAGATCCTAGAATTAATAAATTGAAGTTCAGATTATGATTGAATTGAGAAGAGACAACTTTAAACTTAGTAAAACTTTTTTCTTGGTTAAAGTTAGGGTAGAAAACAGACACAGTTTTTATTAAAAGATCACTTTCTTTGAGTTATATGCAACTGACTCTTATATACTGCATAACATGGTATTTAAGGAAATTCTGAGATAAACAAAATCCATTGAAGGCAGAAAAATTGTGTGGTGAAGAAAGTATTAAATTAGAAGTCAAGTAACCTGGATTCAGTCCCAGGCTCTCCCCCATTTACTCTCTGTGATCAGTATAATCAATCATCCTTGGACAGATTCTTTACTTCTACAATGGGGATAATGAAAACTACCACACAGAGATACAGTGAAGTCTAAATAAGATAATGCATATTAAAATATTTTGAAAACTTTCTGTTTTAATGATGTAAGATACAAGTGATTAATCATTCAAAAATGCTGACAATCTAAACACCATAAAAGATGTATTTCTATAGTTAATCCAACAGGCAAGAATATTGCCTGACATTTCCTGATGTTCTAATCATTTGCCTGATGTTCTAATACCCCATACAGTTCAGAGCAAGGCACAACAAACCTGACTGAAATTCTGAAATATCCAATGGCCAAATTCTATAATAGATCATGTTCCTGGCTACAGAAAAGCTTATACTATTAGGCAGATATTGATAGGAAAACATTTAAATATTGATAATAGCCCAAAACTGTGAATTGGATCATCCAGGAAGACAACATTTTTTTTAAATCTCTGTTCAACCAATTAATGAATTGCCTCAGAGTTCCCTTTGCTACTAACATCTAATGCAGTGATTCTCAAAAGGTAATATGCTTTTGAATCACCTGAGGATCTTTTTAAAATACAGATTCAGATTCAATAGGTCTGAAGTAATACCTGATATTCTACATTTCTAACAAGCCCCAGGTAATGGTAAAACTGGTGGTCTACAGAAACATACTTTTAGAGGAAAGATCATCAACATGCAATCCCATCTAAAAACATTATATTTATTGATCAATGTTAAGGTTTTACAGTGAGAAATACGGGTTTAACTATCTGTGCACTCAAAAATATTCAGGCAAGGATATTCTTCCATCTTTAAAACACAAAACTCTCCACCTTCAGCCAAGATCCTATTTAGCACTTGAACAGATCCAGAGATAGTCCAAGAAAAGTTTTATCCTGACTCCTGTTCCCAAATGCAGGCAAAGTTGAGTAAGCCTCAACTAGCCCTCAAATACAAATTAGGCTCTGCCCAGCATCTTCACTGTCCAAGCTCCTGGTATATAGAGCATATTGATCCTCTTTCAGTCATCATCAGAGTGCCTTCCTATCAGACATTGGCTAACCATCTCAATGGGAAATTATTTGCCTGATAATTCCTGTCCAAAGCCCAGTGGAGACAATTGCTATTCTACAGGGAAAATCTAAGTAGATCTCAAATACTTTTTAGCAATTAAACCCTCTTGTCAAAATTCAGCACTCAAACTTAACATATAAAATCATATTTTATTTCTATAAATTTAGTTTAATACATATTTATAGAAAATGAATTTGTTCAGCTGAGACCCCGAATTTTTTTTTTTTTTTTTTTCTTTTTTCCTTCCTTGCAGCACAGAAGTCTCATTTTTATTTGCCAGCGTTAGAGTGACAGTGCCGCTGTGTCAAGCCTAGCTCACAGCAACCTCAAACTCTGGGCTTCAAAATCCTGCTGCCTCAGCTCTCCTGAGTAGCCTGCGGACTCATAGGCATCGCGGCACCTAATGCCCCAGCTAATCTTTTTCTATATACTATTAGTTTGGCAATGACTTCTTTGTATTTATCAGTAGACGATGGGGTTCTTGCTCTTGCCTCAGCGCCTGGATTGGAATCCCTACCTCGAGCAACTCCACCCGCCCTCGGCTCCAGAGTGCTAGGATTACAGGTGCTGCACGCCACGCACCCAGCCTAAATTGGGTGGTTATAGTTGTCTAGCTGTCACGCCCACACCCAGCCTCAGCATAGCCTGCGACCTCGTCTCTTCGTCTTTTTGTTTCAGTTGCGCAATATTAAGCACAATCCCTAAATCACACCAGGAAATTAATCTCAAATAGAAGCAGTCTGTATACTAGCTAATGCTGTCCTTCAGAATTCTCTCTCACTAAACAGAGCATGAAACAAGAAACACAGTGAAACCATGTCTTCTCTACTAACAGTTATTTCTTAACAGCTGGTTAAAAAATTTTCTGTTAAATATTTAAACCAAATTCAAATCAACACTTGTAGAGCACCCCTCTTCTAGCCTTCCCTTACAGAACCCAATTAACACTGATCCTAACATATAATCACCCTCTTCCTTAGCTTTGTATTCATCATGTACTAAGCCTACTTCATCATAAGAAGTCATATACTCTGGAATATATCAATTCTGGTAGAGCAACATCTTAATCATAAGGTTTAGGCTTTCTACTTCCAGATTAATCAAAAGTAATACTGAGAAAATCTCTATAAGATAAAATATACTTTTTAAAATTCATGTTTAAACGATATTTTACTGTAGATATTGATATATCAGACCATTTCAACAACTAAACAAAAATCCTCATAAATAAATTCTTCTCCTAGATCAGAAACCTACAAAAAAAGCTCCTCTCTGCGCTTATACCACTCGGTATATTTATTTCTAACTCATGAATAACTATTTCTAAATACATAGTCTCCCTTTAGCTTCTTTTCAGCTTCTTGGAATAGAAAGAGATATTTCCTTAGCTTCTTTTACTATGTTACCTGTTGTCTTTCTACGTCTATTTCATTATTATCATTATTCTTTACTGCATGCTGGATACCTATGCATGTATGGACATGCTCCAATACGCCTGGGACTGTCGTCAAAACAGGTCTTGGATTTGTTAGAAAAGGAAGTTAAACTGAGGCTACACCAGGAACCCAAAACAAGTTGTACCAAGCAAACAGAATCATCTCGTTAAGTAATCGCCAGACGCCTTAACAAGAGTCGCCTACATCATTTTTCCTCACATCCATTCGGCGCCAGAACTTAATGAACATGGCCATCCCAAGCTGCGTAAGACTGCAAAGAACTATGCACGTTTCTAGTTGACTGGTCTGATTGCAGTTAAACACTCAAGAGTTTATTTCCTAAATGAACAACAACAACAACAAAAATACACTACTGTAGAAAGGGTTAACAATCCCTACCATGAGTTTATATCTTTTTCTCCCCCAAATTCCTCAATTGCTCTCCAATACGACATTTACAGCTGGTCTGACTAAACAAAATGTAACACAGGACCTTGCACTGTTGTTATCCTTTAAGGTTGAATTCTTATATTGCTTTAATAGAAACCTTGATTGGTGATGAATTAAAGTTTTTCTCACTTTAGTTTTTTTATTGATATGTGATAGATGTACATATTTTTGGGGTATGTGTGATATTTTGATACATTCATATAATTTATAAAGATCAAATCAGCATAATTGGGATATCTGTCATCTTAAATATTTATCTTTTCTTTATGCTCAGAGCATTCGGATTATTCTCTTCTAGCTATTTTGAATTGTACAATAGACTATTGTTAACTGTAGTCACCCTACTGATCTATCAAACATTAGGTCTTATTTCTTCCATCTAACAGTATATTTGAACCCATTAAACAACCCTCTCTTCACGCCCCTACCCTTCCCAGCGTCTGGTAACCACTAATGACTTTAGTTTTTTGTTTTGTTTTTTTTATTTCTAATATCATTACGAACTCAAGATTTTCACATACCTGATGTGTTTTAATATACTATAATCATTATTCTTTTTGAGGCTCCAATTATATGCTCCTATTAAAATAACAGCCTGATTCTGTGTTCTTTTTTTTTAACTGTGGTAAAATACACATAACATAAAATTTGCCATTTTAACCATTTTTCAGTGCAGTTACGTGACATTAAGTACATTCATGTTGGTGTGTAGCCGTCTCCACCATCGAACTACAGAATTTTGTGTTCTTTTAAGACAAACTCATTATTTCTTGGTAGATTCCTTACATTTCAGATGTCCATGGTTTACCTCTCACCTTCTTTGCCCCCAATCATCTACTTCTCTGAGAAGCTCTAATTTCTTCTAATGAGAAAGGTTATATCAGTCCTATTGTCACAATAATGCTTTAAAACAAATTACACAACTACAGAAGCATAAAATGATAAGCATTTATTGCTGACACATTAGTCCCCCAGGGCAAGGTAAGGTGGTTCTGCTGATCTTGGCCCAGCAATCTT